GAAGAAACAATTGTTTTTCGATCGACCGTTTTGCAAACGAGGTGTTTTGTATCAAAAGGTACTGGTAGCCTTAAGTTTTTCTTACAGAATTCTTTGTATTTGATTTTCTTTTTATGGGGTGTGCTTTTCCTTCGTCAAATTATTCTAATTTTTGCTAATCCGCATGTTATTTCCGACTTTATTCAAAATTTGAGTGGCGATTTAATTGAAATTTACAGAATTTGTTTAGGGCCATCGCCTCTTTCAAGTTTATAAGAGTTTTAAATCAATGCTAGGATTTTATTTTTGTGTCGAAACCCAGTTGTGCTCTGAGAGAAAATTTAAAAATGAAAAAGAAATTGTGCAATGTGAGCCAGTTAGGTACGTGTATTGTAGGGTGGTATAGTAACCATTGCACACAGCATTATTATTTCGCGCCCAACGTAGGGGCACAGCATTATTTATGCGCTCAATGTGGAGCCACAGTAATATTTGAGATATGTTTCTAAACAAAGTACCTATAGTAATGCTAACGTTTCAAAAACATCACATTTCAGTAGATACGTCTCATATAACTAGAGTGACCATAATTTTTCAACAAGAAAAAAGTACATTTATAATTTATAAGGGGCACTGCTAATACTCTAGGAAATTTTTCTGGTCACAATTTTACGAATCTAATCAAACAGTAAGAAAACAAAGTTTTTTTTTAATCAAACAGGTACATAAATTATGTGTCTTTATATGTATAAGTTAATTTTCCTCCGACGTTCCTGCCTGAACATTTCGATCATCATTTTGGTACAAGTCGTACTTTTTGAAACCATGAATTTCCTACAGAAGTTGTGGTTTACTCTTTAAGAACTGAAACATTTCATCGATAGGTTGCTGCACAATGGATCAAAATCCAACTAAGCAAAACGCTAAAGCATTTATGACCAAAGACATGCAAAAAGTCATAATTTATATTTCGTTTGGACAAAAAGTATGACTTAATTTTGTGTAAATAAGAAAAAGTACATTTAGGTGTATTTGATAAATCGTAAAGCACAATAGGACAGCGTTTCAAAAGAAAGTACTGTCCTACTAAAAAAAGTACATCTGGTCACCATACATATAACGTGCCACAAAGTAGCAATCCTAAACGTTTCACTTGTAATGGAAAAAAACTGTTATGTTTCATATAAACGTTGCATTTGGAATGTTTCCTAACATTTGTATAATAAATATTTTCGTGGAGATTTGAGATGTCTCTGACAGTTATATGTAACAATAAGCAATAAATGGAGATGTTTCACTTGTAATGTAAAAAGTGACTTATATGCAGTTTACAGATCTTATTTGCTAAACTCGAAAACTTCGGGGAACTTAATTCATAAGTCGCAACTGCACAAATTTTGATTTAGTGCAATGTTGTGCGGTGTATATCACCTTCAGGATAAATAATGTGTTGCTTCGTTGTTAAAAAAGTAGAGGCACTAATACGCCTTAAGCTTATGGCATGCCGATAAGTTAATCAAGGGCCCCTACCCTACATGAGTATTAGTATATGTTGCACTCAAACGCCCAATACGGGCAATGGCTGACATTTTTACATACCCACTTCGCGATGTGATGGTTTTTGTGTTACTTTCTGAGATGTTTCATAGTGGTATTTCTGAGATGTGACATAAATATTATTTGGCAGTGCGATACATGTGATAAACCTTAGTAGACACTTGTCAAGTAGCATGTAATAATATCTTGATTTATTATGTTTGAACTCAATAAAGAATATTTTTATAAATCACAAAATAAACATATTACGCCTAGAGAAAAGTTATTACAGTCATAAAGTTACGTCCTCGTTTGCTTATATTTTTACACTAGAACGAACTAAAATACACTTTTGGTCGTTACTTATGTCAAAGATTGAATCCAAGTCAGTATCATCATTTTCAATTTATTTTCAATCGAAACTGAGCACATATCTTTTGCCCAGTCTTTCGTTAATGTAAACTGACATATTTACAAGCCTAATAAAGCCGAGCGGTACAATTTGGAAAACCTATATTTCCATGAATGCTGGGAGTATGTTATTGAGGCCCAGAACTTAATATCCACGATTTTTAAAAGTTCATCCACGACATAGTGTCTAGTTTTGGCTTGCCAAATAAAACGTAAACGGAATGCAGGTAGCTAAACACGTGTAATTAGCACACCTGCACACAACGTTTGATAATTTGTGTGAGGGTGGAGAAAGGAGAAGTAAACCCCTGTGAAGTAAATATTGGTAGCGAAAATGCGTTGTAAGATCTAAATTGACATAAATGAAGACAGCACAAATACTGCGATGTAATTACGAATACATCGTTGAAATTCCCCAGAAACGAAATTCACTGCGGAACGTATCTTGGTGACATTTCCCTGAACAAATATAAATATCCACAATAAAAACGAATATTTCCTTTTTCTCGCTGTGGCAATTTCGTTGTGCGTCTGGCTGAGAGTAAATTAGAATGAGAAATTTATACGATTTTCACGCCGAAAAGCAATTTAAAATAGATAAAGCTATACTGCTAACACAATTATCATGCTGTACTTCCTTACCTTTCCGCATACGTAGTACTCTGGAAGTCGGTCATCTGTGTTATCTAAATTCTGGCCATTTGGGCTTGGGGTCGGGCTGGGGCTGAGCGGTCGTACCCAGTGACCTCCTATATACAGTTGGCTCGGTCTTTTACAACGCTTATCCTGTCCCTTTTTCCTCTCGTGGCGGACGGCCACCGCTGGCATCGCTCCAATCATCTACATTTCAGGGTAGAAGAAAACACAAAATTAGTGTCACAAATCACCGACACGTAGCGGGTAGGAGTGACGTTTATATCGCGATTTGCTAATCTAAATTCCCCGGCTGTAATTATTTTATTAGTTATCCTTGAACTGGATGCGAATTTTAGGGGTTAATTAATGTTGATAGTTCAAGGCCGGTGTAGGTCATCTACGATCGTTATTTTCCACTTTCCAAATGACACAATTCGGGCTAAATTGTACCAACCCTTTGTTCTAACTTTGTGACATCTGAAAGGATTACCGATATAAGGTAATCGAATATTAAAGGGCGAAGAAGAATTGTACTTAGCTACCTAATATTTTAAATGGATCTCAATATATGGTAACTGAAGCTAAAATTTTGGTCTAAGACGATTAATTCGCATCAATCGCAAAATTTGCGCTTTCTCTTTAATTTTCCCAGCAACCAAAGCACATTGGTGATGGAACATTCCCGGTTCAAATACTCCCCAGATACATTTCCTTGTGATGAGATTTGACAAAATCGGAAAGTGCAAATTCATAGAGGTGCATTAGTCGTATAGGTGTGCTCTCGAAAGTTTCACAATTTATAGGTATTTCTTTAATACTTAAAACATGAGATGTGTTTTATGGAGGAGCCAAGTCTCGATCACCATCTACGAATACCTCATCACGGGATAGGGGCTTTTGAGACACTTCAAATCCGGAAAAAGCACATCCAAAAATTTCGATAAAGCCGTTGTTTTATTTATGCGTTTGGTATGATTTCCGAAAAACTAGCTTCGTTTTAAAGCTTTATTTACGAATCTCTCAAAATGTAACTTCCTTTTGCTTAATTCTTCTCCATGCACTCTCAAAGAAATTTAAAATATATTTAATAGTTTTGAAAATAATTATTGAAAAAAAAATGAAAATTTCTGACTTTCGTTTTTTATGATAAACTAATCGTACTAGATATTTCTAATTAACACATTATTGAGACACTTTTTTAATAGAGGTTTCGAATATGGGATCCCGTTTTTAATAACTCTCAAGATGGCGGAGAAATACATGGCAAGTTTAGTTTTTCTTATCGACACCATTTTGAATTTTCTCATTTTGAGATTACGTCTTTTTTCTCTTTACAACGATTTTTGACACATATGGTGGTTTATAGTCTCCCTTAAAACATTATCATGACAGAAGTTAAAATTAGCTCCGGGAGGTGGAAACATAGATGGCTATAAAACTAACATGAAAGAAATTAAAGTTCTGAACGTTTCGGAGATTATCTGAGAACTCTGACCATACACCATAGGACTATCGCATCTTTCGTTGCTAGGGGGTGTTCCAAAGCCCTATGACTCAACGATTCTGCGCTGTTCCAAAAAATGCGTAGAACACTCACCAGTCGTGATATTGGCTGGGGGATGTAACATACATACCCCTGCAGAAATAGAGAACTCGACAGTCTCACTTAAAAAATTAACATAAAAGAAGTTAAAAATTTAACGTTTTGAGGAAACATTAGCTCCGGGGGGTCTGAGCGTATGGAACACCCCCTAGCAAATGAAAACATACATGGTTTTACCGCAAAGATACCATCGCATCTTTCGCTGCTGGGGGAATTCCATACCCTCCATACTTTCTGATTCTACGATGTCTCCAAAAATGTTTGGAAAGTGAGATGAACTTAGTTTACAGTTTGTGGTGAAATTTGGTAGTGCAGGAACTTAAGTTTTGAAATGGGAACATGAATTAAAGAAAAATTTGAAAAATTACAGACATAAATTAAATGAAGACATAGTAAAAAAGAAAAAGCGAGAAAAATTGGTTTTTCAAAAATTTGAAACGATAACTGACGAAAAAGAAATCGAACAAAATTGCGAAAGAGTAAAATTTAGGATAATAGTCAGACAATAATTAAATTCAGATCAAAGAGTATTACTCTTTGGTCAGATTCAATGGAAACGTAAGGGTCAAGAAGCGTTAACGAAAGTGCATAAAGTATTTTTTTCGGTTCAAAGTTCTTCTTGGGATCATACTCCTTTCTTTTTTTGCTGTGATCTTAAATTAGTTTTAATTTGTTAGAAGACGATTAATTCGAATTTAAATGAAATAAAAACAAGTATTTAGTACTGAGTAATTTACGTGGCACTATTGGCATATGCATTAACGCTTTAAACGAGAATAAATGATCAAGGACGTTATTTTAATTAGGGTTTTATACTCATAAAAGGAAACCGATAGAAAAATCGTGAATATATTTATTATAATAAGATTTTATATAGCAGTACAATGTATGTACAAAAGTAAGAAAACATGCAAAACGCTAAACAAGCTACTGTTCACATGCGAGACTGTATAATCCGTTTACTTCAGTTTCCCATAGACACCAAGCTAATGACACTTACAGAACAATTAAATTCGCACCATCAAAATTGAATACAACGAAAGTATGGAAAGTAGATTGTATTATAGCTACAGGGCGGTTTGTAAGGCTTGGAAACATTGTAACGAATATCGTCCTTAATTCTAATTGAAAAGGGCACATGTAAATTAAAAAAAAACGTAGATACAACATTGATTGGTTTTTTGAAGTAGTTGAGATCAAAAATCAGCCTTAGTAAGAATCACACTCCCGAAAATGGCATTTATCACGCTAAAGATTTTGAAAATTTCTACCATAATTTGATTATGAAGCATGCATTTAGAGAGACCGGTGAGCATCTTAACTGTGCGTCGTTAATTCTAAAGCGTAACCTTTGGCACCACAATTTTGCGAAGAGGTTTGCCACAACCGTATGTACAACCGCAGTAATGCCATGCCGTTGGAGACTACATCTTAAATTTAAATACACTAACTTAAGTAAATGGTTTTTTTAACAATCACAGTGCGTAGCTTAAACGGTACCGGTGCCCATAACCTGCGAACGACATATATTTTGAGATGAGTACACCTGAAGAACACTACCCTTACCAGTATAGTTTAGAAGAATATACAGCACTTAAAATTGACTCTGAATTTATTTGAAGCGAAAGACTACGTCAATTTTGATGCTCTATGCGTATAAGGCAGATATATTGTACGTACAAATCTGATGATATGGATTTGGGATGAGATCTGTTCCTCTAAATGTACATGTTGAGGGAGCGTTGTACGTACATGCAATGTGCACAGAATTAGAGAGTCCGAAATAGTAGTGTTCCCTTATTACATAATGTACAAATTTATAAAGAGACTAAAACCTATATGTTGGAATGCGACAAGTGTTTGCCATTTGAGATCAATTCCCGCGTTTCCGATGGAGTGCCGGGACTTAGACTGGCAGTTGTGGTATTGGAGATTGTTTCGCGGTTAAATGCGTCGGCGCGTCTGCTTTCAATGTCGGAACGGTCGAGACCTTCCTCTTCCAAGATGCGTTCCAGGTGAGCGTCCCCGTTTTGGTAAATGAACTGGCTCTCTGTGTTTTTGACGCTTGGTGAGTGCAGCTTAGGGAGATCGTCATCGGCCAACCCGCGCTCTTTGTCCTCGCGACGTTTCTCCATGGAGCGGCGGTGGTGCTTTGTGGTCAAGCAGCCGGTTTCGACATCCCGTTCCAGGCGATGCCCGCTGCGTGAGCGGGTCAGTTGTCTTTGGACGTACTCGTTTAGATCGTCCTCCTCTTTTTTGCTCATGACGCGATTGAGCGAGATTAGAAACACTCCAAGAGCGGCGACGAAGAGCCCAGTTGCGAGTAACTCGTTCCACCATCCTCCACTTCGCCAGGTGACCACGTCGTCCGGTAGCAGTCCGGATCCTATCAAGAACACTCCCAGCACAAGGAAGCACACCCCCAAGTGCAGCATGCCGATGGAGGTGGCCAGGCGGTGGTCCGGAGGTTGTTGGGTTCGATGAACCGGATGGTGCTCGCAGCTGTCCACGCTGTTAGTCGACGAAGACAACCGGCGGTCGCGTTCGAGTCCGCGCCGTTTCGCCGCCTGCTCCTTTGCCTGTTGCGCGCGCAGGCGACGCTGCCTCTTGATGGCCATCGCAGAATGAAGCCCGGCCGCTCCATGCATCTGCAATGGTTAACCTGCTTGTAATCGTTCTTCACTCACATTGTCACACACAGCACAGCACTAATTTCGCACAACACTTGCTGTTACTCTGCAACAGTAAAAGCAACAAAAACGTAACAGCATCACGGACCAGCACGGACGTTTTTGTGGGAAACGCGCTGCGCTGTATGAGACGTTTTACAACATTGTAAAATAAATCTGCTTTTAGCACCAAGTGGAACGTAAAATAGACTTTCAGTACAAAATGCTTGCCATTTATAACTAAATCGTTTCGCATTGAGCTTCCAGATAAAAACTTTAGCACACATTACGTCCCCGATACCGCTATCGTAGACAATAAACCGCAAATGGCGCGCTCCCATCCCCTTTCAATCTCCCCAGTTTTTACCTTGCGACTAGTCAATATTTGATTTATTCAGTCTTTGTGCATAGAGAAACAAAGGAAGATTTAAAATAACGTACCTATTGTGAGAAATTCGCTTCGCAAAATCTTACGAATTCATTTAAGGTATCTATTTCCGCGAATATTTCGTATTCTAAGGGAAATTGAATCGGCGTGCGCTTTTTTTGTTCTAAAAAGCGTAAAATATTCAAATTGATGTAAGTGTCTCGAGTCGGGAGTTTCATTTCCGTACAACTTCGTGGAAATAATTCCGAGGGTTGCGTGTGGGAAAAAGTTGGTAATTTGCAAACCGGCTTTTAGCATAAATTATAAGGTTGGGCTTAATGATTGTGTAAAATTAAATGTAAAACTCTATAAATAATTAGTTTGTAAACTGTACTTTTACAACTATCGGAAAACATAGAAGGGCTTGTTGGATAAAAAAAATAATAAAATGTCATATTTATGAAAAACGGAGCACTCAATTGTTGTGTAAACTACAGGGGAGTCGTTTTTCTAGGTTGAAATAATGCTGAAGATGAAAGCGAGCTACCCTGTAGTGAAAAGTTTACGTGTTGTTAACGTAATTTCGGTTAAGTATTTAAAATAGCAGGGAAGACATCGCGAAGGTAATATTATTTAAGTTTGTTTCATAGTTCATAGTCATAGAAATGGAAAAATTACTGAATTGTCATTTTAATTTTAGTTATTTATTGTTAGTTATTGTTTAATTAATCTAAAACGCATAAATAAAGGAAAAGGAAATTTAATTGATCATAATGTGAAAGTTTAATCTGGTCAGGTGAGGTTGTTAGGTGAGATTTCTAAGCAGGTAACTATTTTACAATTCTAAAAACAAATACTCGAATTCTTACAATTCTAATGAAAATCTTCGAATCCTAAGAAAAAATCGTAGAATACTGAGAAACTTGCAGGAATCCCTCTAGAGCGCTCTGAAAGCTTCTGAAACCTTGAAGCTTCCTAGACTTTCCACAGCATTTGCTTTGAATCTGCTTGGAACTTTCTCAAGCTTTCTATGGAACTAACTTTTTGTTTCTCTCCTATTTTTTTTTAAATTCTCGCTTAGTCCCATTATAACGCATACACTTACTTTATCCCTTTTTTGTATTTGTATTTTTTTAAATGAAAAGGTTAGGGGAGGGAAAAAATCAGAATTAGGGAAGAAATGATGAGAATATTGCAAATCCCAAATATTCAAATAAGTAAAGCGTTAAATTGCTGCCTAGACCCCACAAGTACAAATTGGTAGTAGGACCGGTAACATTTTTGTTTTATGTAGCCGCAGGGGATGATTGGTGATAAAAGGGTGATTATGCAAACAATTTGCGAGAAAAAATGACGGTAATCGTTTCAAGACTTGGGGATTGTAGGGAAGGGTAAAAAGCTTAAAGTTTACCTCAATCGGTGCTTTTTAGGTGTCAATGAAGGTTTAAGGATTCCTGCGGGATCATATGTTTGTAACTGTCTAAATTTTTAAAATTATCTAAAGCTTTTCAAAATTGTCGAAAACCTTTAAAAGTTTCCTCAGGTTTCCAAAGCTACTCTGATAGTTGAGACCTTCGAAATAATTCAAACCCTCCAAATTTCGAAACCTTTTTGATATTTTTTTAATCTATTTCGCATTCTCTCAAATCCTCTTACGTTCCCGAAACACTTTGAAGCCGCATAAAATCTTACGCAATCACTCTGAAAACCTTATTGTTATTGTTCAAAAGTGCATAAACCTCTCTGAAATGCTCAAAATCCTCAAAAAATTTCTTCGAAAACTGTCGAAACTGTCAAATTCCTGAAAATGTATATGCTTTTTGAACACACCGAAGCAAAATTTGGTTAGAAAACTTTAAACGATTTCAGAGAGTTTTCAAATAGTTACTTTCAGTTCAAATATTAGTGATTGTGACGTTGAGTTTGTTTCCGAAACTTTAAAAAGCATGAAAACTCCTTAATCCCTCCGAAGCGTTTTAAAAAACTTTATAGGGGTTCAGAAAAGGTTACCGTAGAGATGGGCTTCTGCGAGAATAGAGTACTTTACTAGAAAATTCCAAGAAGCGTACTTTCAGAACAAATGATTGAAAAATGTCACAGAGCTTTGGAATTTCACAAAGAGATTTAGTAAGTTTCAGGAGATTTAGGGGTTCTTACGCGGGAAGGCTTCAAATGTTTCATTAGGATTTGGTGGATTTCGATGCCTTTCAGAATCTACATAGATGACACAGCAGCAGAGCTTCGGAATGTTTCAAAGCGAAAGTTTAGGATGGATCAAAGATTTGGACAGTAAAAAATGTGTAGACGGTTTCACTTCTGAGAATTTTGAAGTTTTTCAGAGAGTGTCATGCATTCTCGAAACGTTTAAGGAGTTTTAAAGAGTTCTCTAACGTTTGGATGTTTGTAAAGGGCTTCATAGACCTCAAGCAGTTTGGGAAAGGTTTAAAACTTTCCCAAAGTTTCATATGAGTAAGTTTAAAGTCATGTGGGCAGGTATAAGGTGCATGAAAAATATATAAAAAGCGTTTCGAAGTTTCGACAAGTGCCCTAATTATTTCAGTATAGCTTTACTAATTTCACAAGCATCTAAAAAATCAAGAAAAACAGTGCAAATGGAGTCCTAGAAAACAGCAACGTATCCCAAGCTTCGACGGTCTTCCACGAAAGCTACAGCTTTTGCAGAATATAATATACCAATGAATATATTTCTTCCAGACGTCCCAATCTCCGTTTGTAAATCCCCTCCTCCGACAATCTTTTCTTGAAATATAAGGAATTATAACGATAAGGGGTGTCATTAGGGATAAATCTTGGCACCACTAAAGACATGCGTATGCAAAATTGGTTGTTGAGACGCATGTAAAAGTTATGCACGTTTTACTTTCACAAACAGCATCTCAGGAAATAATTCATCTCGTGCGAAATAAACTCTAAACAAAAATATTTCCCAAAACACGAGGGAGTTAACGTAAAACACACATTGCGCATTCCAATGACGTCTGTCAGTGCCAAAAAATGGGATGCGGAGCCCGAAATAACATGAAGATGAGAACCGAATACAATATTGTTTCCATGGAAACTACGGGAGAATCTAAGCATGCTATTTTGGAAGTTTTATCATGATTTCTATGGCTTCTGCTATAAAATAAAGTTTTCTATTATACACGCGACGATAAAGGGAAACTAACCACCTCGTGAAACATATTCTACTCGATGGTTAAATCATCCCTTTATAGTCATGTTTACTAGAAGGCTACAATGTGCTACTGTTAATTTTTTAGCAGTTGGTCTTAATGACCATTTTCCGCCCACAATCAATCAATTCATATTTGAAAATAGAAAAATGTCATTTTGAAGGAAATACTTTATACATACGGCCTAATGGGTAATAGCTTATCTCCTTTTATAGTGAACCTTTTTCTGGGTAAATTTCAAACCGATTTACAACAATTACAATTGAATTCGGTACGTGGATGATGTCTTTTTTCTCCTCGATACCAAAATTTGTACTCCTGAGGATTTTGTTGCTTAGCTAAATTCAATAAAATTTCCCTTGGAAAAAGAAGCTATCAATAGACTGCCATTTCTCAATACAGTTGCCTCAAGAAGTTGAACACGTTAATTAATTTTCCACTTTCGTGTGAAAATTACATTAAAGAATTGCGCACCATCAAAGAAATTGCAACGGCTTTTCCGAAGAATTAATTACGAACTTAATTAAGAAACATTAGGTTAAGAAAGCAGATTAAAAATGTAACAACGTTAGGAGATTGTATTAGTAAATTAGATAAGAATATGTTAAATTACCCAATTATCCTTCATATACACTAGAGGTACGTTTATCTAAAATCTTTTCCAAATTAAATTTACAAACTGTTAGAACTTCAGATGATAATATACAAAACTTCTAGGGAATCCTAAAGACAGCGTGTAGTATAAGTTGTAAATATTGTAATCAAGTATACAGGGTGCCCATAGACTAATAGACTAATGAAAAGATGCATTGCCATTTAAACAAATTCAATTGTTTCTCGTTACTCATTTGTTTTCTGAAATAAAAACAACTGAATACAACTTTGGTATAGAAAAATTTTGTATACATTTGATATTTACCGAGATATATACGATATTCTATTCCATACATAATGGCCACTCTGTAAATTGGACAAAGAAGGGATTCTTAAAAATTTGGTTTAAACTTTCACTTGTAATTAGTATAATTAGTGTCGTGTTTGTATTTTATTAGTCTGTTGTTTGTTGATGATGACAGCCTTGCTGTCGAAACGCGGTTGAGGTTTTAATATACTTTTTATTGTGGCCTGTTGGTGATTTTGTTTTACTTGAAAAAATGATTTACCTAGCGATTACTTTCTTGCATATTAATTTCTCCAGGAAAATACATATTCTTTCAAATCTTTAATTTAAGAACAATAATTTCTATTATCATAATACTTAAGGTGCCTCCTTCGCGATGGCTTGAAGACAGCACTGTAAGCTTCTTTAAAAAACTATGGCCCATATAAAGGAACGACGTGACACTTTCTTTATCATTCTATTGTGGTTGTAGCAGAAAGAGATGAACGAAAATTTTGAGGTCACTAAAGGATGATAA